TTATTGTTGCGTTGCAAGTTGCTCTTGTGGCTGCAAGAGAGGCAAATCGGTGTTATTCCTATATGTAAATATGTACAGTATTGGACATATCTATAGCACGCCCATTTCAAAGTGATATTTTATGTTTAATATTTTTATTGAGCTTTGTACCACGATTGTTACGATTGTGATATTGTTTGCCACTTTTGTGTAATCATTTATTTTTAAGAATTTTCAATTAAAATTCAGTTCATTCTATAACAAACCTCATATGAACCCAATTTTAAAACTTTTTAAAAGACTACAAAAAAATTCAACAAATTTTCACCTAACAGGTCTATTCTGCACGTTACTGAAGATTTTGTAACCGGAAAATTTTATTACCAAAAAATGTTACCAGTTCTTCTCACCGCGATTCTAGGTAGGTTGGTAATGCAGTTTAAAATATTCTGCAATTCAGCTACGAAGATTAGTGGAAATTCTGCCATTGCATATTTCACGGGACAATATTTTGTTGCCAGCTTATGAGATGGTACAAAAAGTTACTGGTCATAAGAGTACACAGAATGCGAAAAAGGTTTAAAAGTTGACGGGAACTTTATTTACCGGTTACGAAAATTTTATTACCCGCGCAGAATAGACCTGTAAATTTCAAACTTTTTTTTCAGAGGTGCTGGATTTTTTTTTCAGTCTGAAAACGTGCAAGGGTCAAGTGGATGAAAATTGCCGTTGATTTTTGATATGAAAGCAAATGCGATAAAAAAAAAATTCAAATAATCAACGGTAATTTTTAGCCACTTGAAACTTGCACATTATAAGACTAAAATTAAATGGGCTATAAAACTGTGTACTCGGAAAAATGGGGTGCTATAGATAAGTCCAATGCTGTATGGACATACGCAAGCATGCGATCCCTTGATTGGGCCCGAATTTTGCCCAAAACCTAATGCTATATTAATACTGGCAGAAAAATACTTCGAAGATTATTTTACTGAATTTTTTCCTAAATGTTATGGACGCGAAAAAATTGATAAAAAAGCCAGCTGGGTCAACAAAATTCCTTAGACTATGCTCATATTACAACCCAAATTTCTCGCACAAAAATTCATAAAAAATAAAAAGAAGTCTTTAACTGCGTTATAGATCGAAAATTTATATGAAATTGTCACTTTATAACTAAAGCTCTTTAAATCTATTTTATTTTTTTATGAATAAAATCATGCTCACACTATCGTAGTTTACGATTCATTCGTAAATCAGGTTGAAATCAACGTAAATTACTTAGTTTCGTTCAAATTACTTCACATAAATCAAAAGCGTTCACATTTGCTTTAGCGATTTCTATAGATATATGTGTTAGCCTTGCAGCGCAACATGCTTTCAGAGTAATCTGAATAGTAGAGAAATCTTAAAGAAATCATTATTTTCCTTTCCGATTTTTCTAAAATTAAATGTACATATGTACTGCGCACACTTCCGATTCTTTTACGAAATTTCGGGGAAAAAAATCGGTAAAGAAATGAGAATAATGCTGCCATGTAAAGAATTTTAAGAAACTGTACAGAAATTTCTTTACGAGTTCGTGTCAACCACTTCATATGATTTTCTTTGACGTTTCTTAAAGAAATACCATTTCTGAAATAGTAACACACCTTGCGATACTATTTCGCTAAGATTTTGGGAACATGGTTTGCAGAGAGGTTAGTTAACACGTGTGGGCATGGCTGCGTGGTTTGTACTTGATTTTACAATAAATGGCGGCATACCTTAGGCACTATTTTTATAAATTTCCTCAACAGTGGCACCTAAAATAAAAGACATACATAAATATGACACGTAAATAAAAGCCATTTAAGATAGTTTTAATGAAATTTATTTTTTGTTAAAAAATAGTGAAACTCGGAACTAGAGCGTAAAATAAAATTACTCTCACAGAAAACACAAAAACGCAATTCGTGGCCGGAATATGCAGGCAAATCAGCTGACTCCCGGGATATTGTTGGTCTTATTCAAGATACAAGAAATTAGTCTGTTCCTTTGAACTTCGGACTAAAACCTGTGGAACTGTCAAACTACAATTTTACAATTTTAGAGATGCAGAAGTGCACGGGAACGCAAAAAGCACTATTTCCTGTAAAAACGTCAGTCGGTTTGTTTACATGTCATTTGTACAACACTGATTTGGCTGAAATATCACTAACTAATTATTAAAATCTATACATATTCAAATATTTCGTTTTTTACTTCCATTTTTCTACAAATATAAGGTTTTTTGCTTACACCGCTTTCTATTTTTGTTTGGATATGCAAATCAGCTGATCGTTTGACACTTACAGGAAAAAGAAGTCCGGACTAAATGCTGTAAGTTCTGGCTAGGAACAGTCGCTCAGGTACTCTCTCAAAAGTGTTCCCACTTACAGGTTTTATGTCGATAGGAACGACTTCCTGTAAGTTCTGACTAAATCCCGTAAACCGGACTGCTATTGGAACAGACTAATTAATGACCCACTTTTATTCAAATGTGAATTTAAAAGTTGTATGGATGTACATATGTAATATATACTAGGGTGTTCGATTATTCGACATTTTCTCAAAACCGGGTTTCGAGTTATTCGAAAAAAGGCAATTTGGTAAAGCCAGTTCTTAATTTTCAAATTCAGAAAAAAACCGGCTAGACTGTAAATTTGCCTTTAATTTTTCGCGCTTAGATAAGGCTTACAGTTAGTCAAAAATTGAAAGCCAAAAATGGAATAAAACTATTGAAATTAAACATTAGATCCAATAAATATTTAAAAGTTCTGGGATCAACGGATTTTTTCCTTAGTTGCTAAAAACCTGAACCTTGTCTTTTTAAATGTAATTTCTAATATTTATATATAATGCTTTTTATTGAATCATTTCGTGAACCAAATCTGGAATCAGATGTGCTAGAGTGTAAATACATTTTTTATAGCTTTTCGCTACAGTGCCACAGAAGATGTGTTTTTAAGAAAAATTACTTAAAAAAATCCGTATGGTAAATATGCAGATACTTTAAATGAACGCATACCGAAATAAATAAACTTAGTCTACAAAGCTTCTCATTTTCTAACATAGCCGGATTTTTGCTTAAGTGATTTGCGGCAATATGAAAAACATACGTTTACCAAAAAAATTTTTCGAAGGGTACTTGACTTGATTGTATTTAAGAGCACGATTGGTAAAAAAAATTATGTTTGCGCTTTCAACCAAAAAAAACAAATGTACTGAATTTGCAGGGAATTTTGATATGTTGTTGTATAAATATTTTAGATGAAAAGCCGGTTTATTCGATAATCGAAACCGCCCATAAATGTTTGAACAACCAGAATAAAACCGGTTTGAAAAATCCGAGTACCTAAATCACCCTAGTGTGTAAATATACGTATGTAATTAGGTTCCATTAACATATACAGGGAAGTTCGTACGATTTGAAATCGGTACGATTTTGGAAATATTTTTATAGATATTTAATTAGAAAACTCAGAATTTGGTATTGAAACGGCTGATATAACATCGCTGATGTTTCTGTTATAGGTTTTATATATCAATCGATCAATATTTGGCAAATCGTACCGATTTCAAATGATGCGATATACAGAACATACCTGATAAGCATAGAAAATACCTCTATTATGATCAAGGCGCCAATCATTTTCTTCCGAAAACTATTCTATTTTTTACACTCGAATACTTTAATGGTTGGGTAAGATGCTGCAAAATAAATCACCAGCACGATACAACTACGATTCATACTCTCTTTCACCGATTTTCCCATTAAGTACTCTTTCAAAACTTTGCCTATTACAAGATGCAGAGAGATCCATACAAATAAGCTTTTGTGTTTGACTCGATAACCTTCACTATACGTAATATCAGACTCGATTGCAGATAAAACGATTGAAATGGTCTGACGCAATTTATCTTTTTCATTAACAATGATACATACATACCTGAATGGGCGCGCATCGCCTTGGAATGGATCGGGATAGCCATTGGGCTCCTGTGTGGGCGTAAAGTACTTTGTAAGCAAGGTGTGTGAGCCGGGATGATAATCATAAACTAATACTAACGCTGGAGATTTGAAAAAAAAAATAAAAAACATAAATTTTTATCTCGCATTTGAAAAGAAAATCCATGCATATTTCAACAATACCACGTACAATTATCACCAAATGCTTTTGTCGTGAATACTTCACGCAGTTGTACCACATTCGAATGTTGTAACTTCTTCCACATCTCCACGATAGCCATGCACTTTGTTGATTGGAGACGAAAACCTAATAAAATTTTAATCGAAAATCATAAATTCATTGCACATAACTACATATCGATGGCTGAGTGGAAGATCGACCTATCTCGGCAGCCAGTTCGAAAACGCTCTATCTCAAAAAACTCTTCAGAATTTAATTGAAAAACATCCTATCTCAAAATTCGGTTCAAAAACGCCCTATCCCACTTCAAAATATATTGAAAATATGCTGATATAGGGCGTTTTTGAATCGGCAGCTGAGATAGGGCGTTTTTGAAACGAATTCTGAAATAGGGCGTTCTTGAAAAGTTTTGTTTATTTTTTGATATTGGGTTGAACCGGGCTTGAACCCAGGCCCTGCGGAATGGTAGCGCGCAATGCTAACCACTATACCACAGTGGCCGCCTACATATACATATGTACATATATGGTGCTTTAAAATATCCCTTTTCCCTTAAACCTTTTTGTGTGGGCAACAATGTTGGTTTGTAATCAACCCTCTGCTACTGACGTGACTAAAATTTCGCTAGTGTATTGACACCAGCTTTCTAGATGAAAATATATGAACATACATACATATATGTATGTATGTTAGATATTTATTAATAAACTTTTTTTCCAGTTAAACTGGAAATTCTAACAATATTATTAATACTTATTATAATATAATAGTTATATAAACAAACAATTTTATGAAGAAAATTCGCCTTCTTTGTAAAAAATATATTCGCTCAAAATAAAAATCATCGATATCGGCCCAGTATTTTAAGACTTTTTGGATTAGAAAAAATTATCTTTCAATTTTATATGACACAGTCAGACATGGAAATTTTCTCCTAGAAGCAATTTCTAATAGCTTAATTTATAAAAATGGAAGCTTATATATTTGAATTTTAAGAAAATAAGGCAAATAGCAAAATTGGCTATTTTTTTTTTTGCAAAACGGCAAAAAAATCTAGCCAGAATACGATTAAGCTGGCAACACTGCTAGACAGTAATTTAAATCGAAAAAATAATTCTCACTGCTATTCCATTATTGATTGAAATTTCTACCGAAATAGGATTTTTAGGGCACTTCAAATAGTGTACTAAGGATATTGACAGTCAAATGATTTGAAAATCAGAAATTGAACTCTTTTGCATTTGTATTATCTATACCATACTCGCATCATTCCAGAAGGAAAAAATTCTTAATATTTTTCACTGCGTTATTAAAAATGTTGTCTAAATTGCTCAAAAACCCCATATTTTTACTTCAATGTGCGAGGGTAAAATATTAACCGATTTAATTGTAACTCCCAGTTAAATATCGCTATCGACACCCATCTTATAACATGTGATCTATAAAGCAGCCGATGTGTATAACTGAAGGATGTATCTCCAGTTAGTGTTAACTAGACGCGGTGCAAGCGGCCCTTAGAGGCAATTCAACAACATCATGTAGACATTCGCATTAGCAAAACATTCGCACCATTTGATACGAATGTTAAAAATAATGCCTAATTCCTAAGATCCCTAGTATGTATGTATATACTGACCATGTAACCTCCGCAAACAGTATTTAATGCCCGTGGTGCTATGTGTGGCCTTATAGGTAGATGCAAGTATTGTGAGTTTGCCGTGCAACGCCTGTACTGGCTCCAATGGGTATAATGAGTGATAGTTGTCCACTTCCGGAGGAAGCGCATGTTGCGTCGCTTCGGCTGGGTCGAGCATTAAATTCGAGATCTCATTGCGGGCAAGAATTTCTGAACGTATCTCATCAGGCAGGAAGAAGGCAGATTCCAAGTGTGTTTTCGGTTGTAATGCAATCAAGTTGGAAGCCGGACCTGGATACACATGATGACCCGTGTATAGCAATGGCGGTTGCACAGGTGGTATTGGCGCTACCGCCGATGGTGCAGCACGATGGGCGCTTACGGGATCAGCCACATTACTCACCACGGCACTGTTATTTGCGGCGGCTGTATGATTGGCAGTTGGATAGAAGTATATCGTGCCGCCTACATTTTCCTATAAGTAAATCAAATGAGCATACAACAAAGGTCTCTCTCTCCTTTTACCTAACAGTGAAATATACAAACCTGATGTACGCTCGCCGGCAGCGTTGTTGGGATGGGTGAGGTGCGAGGTGTGATGCGCGGAGGAGACTTTTCACCACCACCACCACCACCACCACCACCACCACCACTGCCACCTCCAACTCCAACTCCATGGGTAGTGGGTGATTCGTTTCGAAGCATATTGCTGCGCACTTTCAGTGGTGTCGCCATGTTGACGTATGCTTGAGTGCCAGTCGGCTGCTGGGTCGTCGGTATAACACCGTTCACCAGGGCGCGTGACGACTGCGTCTGCTGCTGTTGTTGTTGTGATTGTTGTTGTTGATGGTGATGTTGTTGCTGCTGCTGCTGCTGTTGTTGTTGTAGCTGCTTCTGCTGAGCTACCGCGGCAGCAGTGGCTTTCTGCAGACCAAGCAAAGACGAGGGAGTACCACTTACCGATTTAGCGGCCGAGGGCCTAACGCCACCTGCTACGTTGACACCAGCATTGCCAAGACCATTATTCAGCATAGGCGTATGATAAGGTGTATAGAAATTTGGTGACGCGTTTATGCGAGTTGGAATGAATTCGGGTGACTGCGGAGTTACCTAGCAATCGAATTGTACATACACGGGTGCGTGTAAAAATTATTAAAAAAAAGAAACGTAGTGATTATTAATAATAAAAATACAGTGTTGCTCATAAAACTAACAAAGCGTCGCGGCGGTTGAAGGCGTTTAGAACTCTTTTTTGAGATCTTTTGAAACTGATTGGATAAGGTTGCAAAGGATAAGACAAGTTAAAAAATATCGGTATTTCGTTCAATTTTTATAATGGTTTTTGTAATGCGCTGCCTAAATATGTGGGGAACGTAGAAATTAAAGGGACGAAAAATTCTCCATTTGTACATAAGTGTTTTTATATAATCTAATTATTATTATTTTCTTATTTCAGAATGCTTAATTTTTGTGGCTATCACCTTAGGGTCAAAACATAGTGGAGCGACGAGCAAAGCGAAGAGCTAGCATCGAGCATAGCTTCAATTAAAAAAGTGTATGTACGCTTTGCTCTTCCCTATGCGCTTTCCCATTGAAACATATGCGTTTGAAATCGACGCTTTGCTCGATGCTCTTTGGTCGCCGCTCCACTACGTTATTTCGCCTTACATATCGCACACGATTTTAAAAAGTGAATATTATCTACTGAAAAATTTATCAGTTCTAGAATTATAAACGAAAAATAATCATAGGTCATGTACATATGTATTTAGATTAAAGCAAGTGCAAGTGCTGCATAATAGACACATAATATCTTTTTTTCCAAATGATTAACATGGGCTCGAGAAAGTTTTTTTGCATTTTCTGTCAAATGGAGAATTTTGAATTAATACTAGATATTTTGAAATTCTTGTGTGATACATATGTATGTATGTACATAGATACCCATGAGTATTCACTGGAGGCGTACTTATTTGTATAAATATTTTTCTCAAAGGGAATTTTTGTATAGCGTCACCCAAAATAAATTGTCATCTTCATCTAAAAGTTTTTGGGTAAAAATTTGAACTCAATCGAATAACATTTGATAAGAGAAGCGATCTAAAGTGAGCTAACTCAAAATTCAGATCGGTATATACATATAACTGCTTGTGGATCGTACAGATTCATCCCAATTAATACAAAAACAGGTATAACAGTAGTTTTGCATTGACGTTAGCTTGTATCTTACTTTAGTCTGTTTACGCGAACACTAAATAATAATAATAATCTCAACGGTTTTACCCTCCTCCTCCCACCCATCCGCACGAGGGGCGCAGTCCGCATGACGTACGGAACAATTATTTTCATAATTTTTGCGCCGAGTCACGAAAGGCAGGATGTACTTTGTCAAATGCTTTACTGAAGTCGGTATATGTAACATCCACATTTTTTGTTTTCACTAAACGATTTAGAGATATAGGGTGTGAACTCAAGTGAATTTGTTGAAGTTGATTTGCCTTGCATAACTCATATTAACAGTATGAAATGTTAGAGAAGATAGAATGCGTCAACTGATTTGTAATAAAGTATCGCCCGCTTAATTGCACTTCAAAAATTGGACAATTTTTGGTTCAATTAACCGGGGGGAGTTCGTTCAATTACAGAAGCTCCGGGAAAATTGAAGGTATATCTCTTTTCAATGCCACATGTTTTTAACCAATTATACGGCGAAGCCAATTAACCCGTTTCAATTATGCGCGAAAATTTACATGGATTTTTTATGCAATATTTTTTTACCGATAAGGTAATTCAAATAAGCGAGGAAATCAATTAACCGGGGAACAATTAAGTGGGAAATACTAAAATTGCTTCAAATAATTTAGGAATTGCAGAAAGCTTAGCTGTGGCCCGATAGTTCTCCACCGAGGACCTGCTACCGCTTTTATGTAGCAGAGTTATGAGCCGTTCCTTCCATACAGTTGGAAAGATGCCGCCTTTAAGAGACAAATTAAATAAGGCTGTTAACGGCTCATAGAGATAATCAGAACAATTTATAAGAAAACAAGTGGGGATCTGGTCAGGAACATAACTAAAAGACTGCTTTAAGGTCTTCAGGTAAACTAATACATCATCGTGAGATATTACTGGGGTATGTATTGCGTTCATTGGACTTATACCGAATTTCCACTAGGCATTGAAATGACAAAAAATGTATGCCATTTAAAAAAATGCCATGTGGAAATGAACTTAATGAATATTTTTTTTTATGTAATGACACAATTATTTTTAAATGCCCGACTTTGTCATTTCTCATTTTTGCCATTTAATGCTTAGTGGAAATCCAGCATTAGTTTAAACGAATAGTCAAGGTGTGCTTGGGAGTTAATCAAATAATTGGATTTAAAACACTGAGCGAACATGTTAGAAATTGTTTTACCATGTTTATATGATGCTTCAATTCGTTCTAAGTTAAGCCATGTTATTTAGACCCACACATATGTATAAACACATTTTTAAATCGAATTGAAACTTTTAACCGTTCCACCTTAAATCACATTTTGAATGCGAGTTAAGAGTTATGGAATCGTTTTAAGAGTGCAAAAAAACACGGGATTAGTCCACACGGTTGTTTCATGCAACTCTGTATGAAGTAAAATATTTAAATAGTTTTTTTAATTAAAAAAAAAATTTAAAAAAATTGACCTGTGTAAAATTAAACGGTGTATAATATATAACCCAAAATCATTTTATGATTTGGTAAACTCCAAGCGAAATGTACGTGGGTTTCCTTCCGCCATGATATATGAAAATGCCGTCCCTAGTGATAACACTGTACAGCACTGCTGCGGTTGGGTATTGGACCAAACCAACTTTTTTTAAGAGATTGAGTCATAAGTAAAAAAAAGTAAGTTCTCCGTTTTTCGAAGTTAGCCTCCGAAATCGAGATATGGGCCTTCGAAGTTCGAAATTGGACCTTTGGTAAAAAATTATTTTTAATTATGGCATGTAAACATCAAAAAAAGTAAAAATACAGACGTGGTCCGCCTTTTTCTCTTATTTATATGGTATACAGGTTACAGGTGCTATAAACGGGTCAAAGGTCAGATCTTCGAAAAATCAAAAACTTAATATTTCAGAAAATTTTCAACTGATTTTTAAAAGACTCATATCGTTGTAAAAGTGATTTAATCCCCTTTCTTGTGATATGCATATTTGTATACTTCGTATATAAAAATTTGGGAAAAAACACATTTAAAGGAATATATACCTTTTTTTGTATAAAAAAAAATATCTTAAACAAAAAAATTACTAACCGATTTTAAAAAAATTGTAAAGCCGATTAAACCCTCTTTCTTCTGATGTGCATATTTGTATACCTCGTGAATAAAAATTTGAGAAAAAACACTTAAAAGGAAAAAAATATATTTTTTTATCAAATATTTACCATTTATGACGCAAAAGTGAGTATTATACATAGTACGATAGGAAATGTCGTTTCCCATGTATTTTGTTGTTGTGTGTTTGCAAGTTATACAATCCATGCACTCCGTGCTACGTGTAATGGCTTTGGCAAGATTTGGAGAATACCCCTATTGTCAATGATGTTCCATGATATACATATTTGGTAAATTAAAGTCACCCAACACAATCATTGAATCAGAGGGTTTACTCATTAAATTAACTGATTTCAGTAGAGACATGTTGTGTGAATATATTGAAAAGTCAGATCGGGAAGGAATATAGCATAGAGATAGGTAAGTAAACCCCCTTCCAACCTGTACAAGAGTTCTTTTGAGTCCTGCAGATTCAATCTTGAATACCTTTTTCAGATGGTATTGAATAGTCTACGGCAAAGAGTACGCCACCGCTGATTCTGTCATCCCGATCGTTTCTGTAGATATGATAATTATTTGAAGTGAATTTATAGCGTTTTCTTTTCTCGAAATAATATTGCACTTATGCTGCCCGTCCTGCGCCCGAGCTGTCAAGTTTTCGTGCTCTTTTCTCAGCATCTTCACATGCATCATATTGCGTGCTCTTTCTTTAAAATGTTGCACTCTGATAATGTTGCCATATGAGAAGGGGTCTGCAGTAGGTGGTCCTACATATATTGAAATTCCTTCAGACATAACATCAAAATGTGTTACTATAAAATTACGTACTTGATTTCAATTTCTTTTAAAAGACCCATGAGATTCTCTTTGAAAAATTTTAGTCACATATTCTCGCAATTCCGTTTCTTTTGGCATTTTCGCGTTGAATCTCTTTTTTATTTAAGGAAAGTACACAAATTTAAGGCAAGATACAAAAAATTTTATTTTAATATTTATTTCGGCAGTACATACTCATACAATATAAGAAAAGTATGACGGACAATTTTCCAGTAGCGAAAATGGTCAACGGTGACATCGTCACTAATGATGATTTAGTGACCTCGTCGCGCTTGATCTGTAGGATTCGCAGCAACGGCACATTGCTGACAATGACACTGGTGAAAATGTCATGCAGGTGTTCAGCTATTAAAGACTTATAACTAGGGAAGACAAAAATATGCAAATTCTTATTACGACAAAAAATACATATTTTGCCGAAAAAGCATACAAATAATTATTTTGGTAATAAGTTAATTAGATTTCGCACAATTTTATCTGGCAATACCTTTGCGCAGATAGCCAAGGTTGCTTGCGAGGTTTGTTTAATTGACAAAAAGAGAAAGTTCCGTTATTTTCTAGTAAAAAACTGTAAAATACTCGTAAAAATATTTCGATTATTTTGAAGTTTAGCGCTAAACCGGTTTCGATGGTTGAATAATTTAATGAAAATTTACCGAAAGAGATTGGATCTTTGCGTTCGTTTTTAGTGAAAGCTGTTCAACAATTTCCAGGTGTGTTGCGAACTGATCAGCGAGTTTCATTCTGCATCTATTGTAACTGCTCAATATCAGCAACAAAAATATTAATAATGTAATAATAGAATTGTCATCTTTTAAATATTGTCCAACAACGTCTTGTGACGTAGACCGTTCATTTTCAATACATATATACAAGTATATACAACAACTTTTTCTGTGATAATCGAAAAAATTTTCGTTGGAAAATATACATTGTAT